AGCGCTAATTTGCTTGATGAGCAAACACCGTCTTTTAAAACTCCCGTGTTTGAACAGTTTAGAACTACTTTGCAAAATACCTTACATTGGTTCACTTAGGGAAATTGCTAGAATATAGTCCTACACCTATCCTTTTTGTCGCTTAGAGATCACCTGTTGAGAAATAATAAGGTCTTCGTTTTTTTTTTGCAAAGATAAATCGTTGTTTTGGAATAACTGAGTACATTACTTACACGAAAAATGGAGTCCAACAAACAGTAAAACATCCTAGAATAATTCCAAGCACCTTGACACCACGACGCTCCTTTGCTGCAGAAATTGCTTTTGGTTTTGGGGGACTTTTATACTTTGTTTTCCTGAAATGCTGCTCTTCATTCAAAGTTATACGCTAGAATCAGAATGCTCACCTATTAACAAAGCGTTCGGATTTTTCTCGCCGCAATTTCTTAATCCCAATCTGAGGGAGTGGGGTGTCTCCTCCTTTCTCACATGATATGCAGCGTTTCAAATTCGACGGCGTTTGATTAAAAACCTTGAAACGCTCTTGCATAAATTCGAAAGTTACTGGTAACTAACTATCTGATATACCGCTTGGCTATCTCGTCTGCAATGCGTTGTCGGCGGGGCAGGTTCTATGACTTTAACTGAGTAATTTGAGATCGCTGCCTGACCCTAAATATGCAATAATAATTTTTTTTTTCAATGGCATATCATATGTTTCGTGTTTTTTGCATATGACCTCAATTTGTTGCTTTGAATTGCTCATAGTTGCGCTTTGACAACAAACAAGTCGACTATCCTATCTTTTGGCCTTATTTTTCCCAAAATAAGACATTTTGATACTTCGAGGAAATGAAAGCCTTATCTGAAAATCCAGCTGAATGGTATTGATGGATTTTACGATCTTGGATACACCATATGCTATTTCGAGAAATTCAAAGCTGCAATTCAAACAATGTAGCTCAAGCTTGACCTATATCCTGAGCTTGATCTGAGCTTATCGAAATCAGAGTGAAGCTAGTGCTCTTGAAAATCCTTGCACCGCAGCATCTAAGACACAATGCAGGAATAAAGCCCAAAATTT